TTTTTTTGGTTGGTTGTGATAAAAACTTGGAGTCTCCAATTTCATGTCTCAAGTTACTGCTTTGCCCTTAGAGTAAACCTCTCTTTGTAATTTGCCAATTGAATGATTTAACAACTTACTTTTTCTATTGAAAATCCTTTGACAATCTCATAACGCATTTCTCTTACAAATTTGTTGGTAAACCGTTTGGGAAAATACCCAACGGATTGTATTTTCTGTCAGCAAAAATTAATAACAAGCCATATATCAACAAGAAAAATTGTTGTTAATCCGTTGGCATGTTGTTGGGAAATTTGATTATCAACAGATTATTTCGTTAGTAAAACTCATACTTCTTGTAGTGTGAAGTGCTTGTGAAATTAACCCGTCTACTATTGACTTATGTTTGGTAGACAAATAAGTTAGCTTATAGCTTATTCGGTTAGCTTATACGCTTCCTATATTTAAATAAGCTTCGTTTGGTACGACGATTTTTTTTTTTTTTTTAAAAAAACTCGAGCTTATCTCATAAGCTCGTTGAAAGTTTATTTCAACTAGTCTATCAACTAATTTTATCAGACACTTTTATCATGTAAGTTATCTTTTCATCTATAAGTTATATGCTCGAAAATTACTGATAGTTAGTTTTTACCAAACATAGTCTATATTAGCAGAAGAGTTATGTCCTTATCCATGTCAGTGGAGACAAGTTTAATTTGTTACTATTCTTAGTTCTTGACAATGAAATTTAAATTAACACTACTCTAAACTCAAAATTTCCTCTAAGCAAATTATTCCTTTTAATTCTGGTTTTTGGGTAGTTGAGTCACATAAAGAATGACAATGGAACGTATAAAAGACCTTTAAAAGTAGTTAGGATTATATAAAAATTCTTGCTCATACAAAACGTCACAACGTAATTCCAGGACAGGCACCTTAACACCCTCTTTAATTAGTTAGGACTGGCAAAATTAAACTGCATTTGAACTTAGTTACATCAATACAGAATTTAATTTATTTGTGCATCTGAATCTTCAAATTTCAACAACTATAGCAATATCAATGAAATATAGTATTCAGCAAGTGAATGCATACTAATATAAGGTTGGATTTTAACCAGTTAAGTCGAGCTCAAACGAGCTTTTGTCAAGTCACATTGACTCGAGCGTGAGTAGCTTAACTCGTACGAGCTTTATTCGAGTCACGTGAGTGAAGCTTGAGTTAGTTGCACATACTTTGCTCGTCTGTTGATAGAGTTGAGCTCGACACGATCTTCCTTAATGCTAAAATACGCGCAAGTTTTGGATCGCTATGTGCATAACCGAACCGAAACAATCTTTTAACGGTGCTACTTGAGTCGGTTTAATTGTTTTCGTAACATTTTTTTTAACTCTATTTTACAACCAAACCTTTCTCTACTTGAGAAACTTTCAAGTCCATCTACTGCTTTTTTCATGCATGGATTGTTGCTCACCTACCAAATAGTACACATATTTAGTTTCTACATATAACTAAATGGAGCCATTGAATGATCTCAGTTTCATTATGAATTTGATCTTTATCTCAACAAAATAACTAATTTTCTTCCTCAACATTTGTATTAATTATGTATGTTTTGTAATTATTTTCCCAGGTCGAAGGCGGGTGGATAATCTTAGTTTTCGAAAGGGAACCAAAATGCTCGTGCAAAGTTTCGTTGATAGGCTTAGACCTCTGGTCGGGCTCAAATGTTGGGATTATGTTGTCTTATGGAAGTTGAGCAATGATCACAGGTTATGTTTCATTCAAACGAATTCGAAAGGGGAAAAATTTACAAAAAACAACATTTGAGGACAAGAAAAGTTTAAGGCCGATTTTCGTAATATTAAACTATGTAATGATTGTGATGGGTTAATTTTGCAGATGTATCGAGTGGATGGAGTGTTGTTGTGCCGGAAGTGCGAATATTAAAAGTGTTGGGGAGGATATTGTCAATTTCGAAGGCTCAAGTAGCCTACACTGTAGAGATATCGTGTTCCCACATCGAAGGATCAAAGCCTGTGATTTACTAGACCAGCTTCCTTCTTCCATCATACTCGATTCAGGGTAATTATAAGATGTTGGCACCGAATTCTCCAAGAAAATTATGCGTTTTAGGTTTGTAAAGCGAGATGTGTTGGTTTTGTATATTTGTAGAGTTCATGCACAGTCCATGCTGTCGAACCAAGCAAGTTGGCTCAACTACTCACACAACTCGGACGCAAGTTTTACGGAAGTGGTAAAAAAAAGTTGTATTTGTGTAGATGCTAATGAAAACTTTACTAATTTATGTCCTGATTGAATGTGTTTGAGATGCAGGACACAATTGGCACCCGGGTTCTGGTCCCGGTGCCTCTTGGGCTGGTCGACCTGTTTGTGATGAAACAAGTAGGTCGTCGTGATTTATCTTTTTTCTCTTTCGTCTTTTACTTATATCACAAAAAAAAAAAAGCATTACACTCCGAGGACTCAGAAACAATAATTTTCGTCTTCGTATTTTTCTTCCACGTCAAATTTCAGATCGCGGAAGATGAAAAGGTGGTGGATTTCATCACAACCCAATGCAACTTGTTCCTAGAGCAACAAATGATGATGGGCAACTCGGGCCCCACCACCAACACTAGAGCCGATTCCTTCTCGCCTCACACGAACAACCCCTTGGCAGCCCTTTTCGGGAACCACCCTCGAGACGACAGAATCAATCTGGAAAACATGTTCCCGGATTACGGGCTTCAGGAGTTGGAGACGGGACAGGGAAATAATAATAATAGTAACAGTTGTTTTTGGATGGGAGAGGATCAGGTGAACGAGGACTCGAACAACAGGTCGGAGGAGTCAGAGGCGGATGAGGAGAACGAGACAAAGTCTAGGAGGCGAATAAACGGGAAAGGGCCCCAGTCGAAGAACCTCATGGCTGAGAGAAAGAGGAGGAAGAAGCTCAACGATAGGTTATATTCTCTACGATCCTTGGTCCCCAAGATCTCTAAGGTACTTCACTTTCAAATCTTCCATTATATATACGTGTTGTTCAAAACTTTGGTATTATTGTTGCTCCTCAAATCTTGTTAATTTCTGTGTTGTAGTTGGATAGAGCCTCGATTCTTGGAGATGCTATCGATTATGTGAATGAGTTGAAGAAACAGGTGGAGGACCTACAAATTGAGCTCGAACAGCATTCGGAGAATGAGGAGGAGGACATGAGGAAAATAAGGAGAGACGAGGCCAATACTATGCATCAAAATGGAGGGAAACGCGAAAACGGAAATTTCACGCATGCCGTTCACAACAACACTGTTAATAACGTCTCCGGGCATATCAACCACGAGCCGCATAGTAATGCAAATCACAGAGTTCAGCAAATGGAGGTCAGAGAACATGATTCTAAGCCTTCCCCGCGCGCACACACACACACACAAAAGAAAAATGACTTATTAGTTACGATTTTATTTTATTTGACCTTTCACTTTTGGTAGTTTACATCAAAATCTTTTAGTAGAATAATCAAGAACATGTAGCATTGTTGCAGCACTAATCTAAGTCGGTCACAACCACTTTGCGCGAGAGTTTTTAATGCTCAAAAGGCATTTCTGGTGGGTTCTTTTTGATCGTCAAATTGAACGAGAGCGTTTTATGATCATGGTAAGACGAAGGATACATACCTAGACATAGTGCTGTAAACGAACCGAATCGAACCGAGCTTGGGTTGTTCGAGCTCGTGTTCGTTTTCGTTCGAATAATGTTCGTGTTCGTTCGTTTATTTTTCGAGCAAAAAATTGTGTTCGAGTTCGTTCGTTTAATTGTTCGTCAAAGTTCGAGTTCGTTCGTGTTCGAATAATTTAATATATAAACTTTTAAAATATGTTTGATTAATTCGAAATTTGTTCGTTCGAACTCGTTCGAACTCGAAAATAAAAGAATAAAATAAAAATATTTTTATATTTTAGATTTTTTATTAAAAATATTATGTAAATATATAAAAAATAAATAAAATTATATTAAATTTTAGATTTTATTAAAATAT